TAGCCATCTTGCATGATGACAACTCTCTGAAATTACCAATGGGTAGGTGGGAGGGGAGGGGTGAACATGACACAAGCTCAGGGGCTCTTGGGGACAAGGCGTTGGGTGTGTGGGCCAGCTGCGAGTGGAGAGTGGTTAGGGTGAAAGCTGCAGGGAACACACAGCAGGAATGGCCAGGCAGCAGGTACAGCAAGTACGAAGGAAGGAGGTGCTGGTCAACGGTGCTTAGCTGTCCTAGTGTGGGGAGTACTAGAAGGAAAGTATCAGCCTGGCTTCTGGGAAGGTGGCAGACCTAGGGCCTCAGGGAGTTTTAAGAAACACAAGAGTTGAAATCATCGTACCAGCCACCAGGTGGAAGGATTGGGCTGAGACAGAAGGCAGAGGCCTGGGTGATGGTTTGTGGAGTAGAAGTTTGGTGAGTGGGAGACACTGGCCTTTTTCTCCCTCACCCTTTCTCCTCCCCTCCCCCTCCAGATGCTTCTCTGTCCTTTGTTTCCTCTCTTCTGAATCTTTCTCCTCCTATTTCTTTCTCTTTCTGTCCTTTAGTTGGTCATAATACAGAACTGGTGTATATTAACATAAACACAAAAAGAAAGTTTTATGTTCTCTTTCCTTAAAAGTTTAAGGAAAACTTAGAAGTCTGAATATTTTTTATTCCTCTTAAAAACAGCCATTAAAATATTTTCTCTGTATGCAATCCTTGATTAACTTCTTCCTGTATGGCTGAAGAGCCCTTGATAGGGAACAAGAATTTAACTATGTTTAAATCATGAACTCATAATTCTTAGCACTTAGAAATTCCCACTCAGCTACAGAACACTTCCAACCTAAATTGCTGAGGCCAAGTTTACACTGCTGTCCACCCCCATTTTCCTAACCTAGCATACTGCCATGCATGCAGCTGGCATCAATAAATAAGTAATCTGGATGCCCTCAGTTATACGCATGACTTCATGAGCCACAATCAGCTACAGGCCTCAATTCGTCAGTTTCTAATCGATCAATCTTTTAATCAGGTCTACGTGCTACAAAGAAGGACGTGGCTTACCTAAAAAGTTTTGAACAAGGCTGATGGTTATGGATTTCTGTAATTAAAAAGAGGAAATACATCTCAGTTAATCATGCAAGACACAAAACCCACTGCTGCTGAGTTGATTTTGATTCATAGCGACCTTGCAGGAGAGAGTAGAACTGCCCTATAGGGTTTCCAAGGCTGTAAATCTTTACGGAAGCAGGCTGCCACATCTTTCTCCATGGAGCGGCTGGTAGGTTTGAACCGCTGACCTTTTGGCTAGCAGCTGAGTGCTTAACTACAAAATAGCTCAGGAGTCTTTTTTTAAAAATTTTACTGTGGTTTAGGTGAAAGTTTACAGCTCAAGTTAATTTCTCATTCAAAAATTTATATACATACTGCTTGGTGACATTGGTTAAAATCCCCACAACATGACAGCACACTCCTCCTTTCCACCTTGGGTTCCCTGTGTCCATTTGTCCAGTTCCTGTCCCTTCCTGCCTTTTCATCTTGCTTTTGGACAGGAGTTGCCCGTTTGGTCTTGGATATTTGATTGAACTAAGAAGCACGTTCCTCATGTTGTATTATTTTTTGTTTTATAGGCTTGTCTAATCTTTGTGTGAAAAGTGGGCTTTTGGGATGGTTTCAGTTTGGGTTTAGTAGAGTAACCGCGGGCCACAGTCTCCAGGGTTCCTCCAGTCTCTATCAGACCAGTAAGTCTAGACTTTTTTCGTGAATTTGAATTCTGTTCTACATTTTTCTCCCGTTCTGTCTGGGACTCCCTGTTGTGATCCCTGTCAGAACGCTCGCTGGTGGTAGCTGGGCACCATCTAGTTCTTCTGGTCTCGGGCTGGTGGAGTCTCTGGTTCATTTGGTCCCTTAGTCCTTTGGGCTAGTATTTTCCTTGTGTCTTTGGTTTTCTTCATTCTCCTTTGCTCCAGATGGGATGGGACCAATAGATGTATCTTAGATGGTCCCTTGCAAGCTTTTAAAACCTCAGATGCTACTCATCAAAGTGGGATGTAGAACATTTTCTTTATGAACTATGTTATGCCAATTGACTCAGATGTCCCCAGAGACTGTGGACCCCAGCCCCCAGCCCCAGCTACTCAGTCCCTCAAAGTGTATGGATGAGGCTAGGAAACATCTATGCTTTAGCTCTGGTCCAGTTGTGTTGACTTCCCCTCTATTGTGTGCTGTCCATCCCTTCACTGAAGTTGATACTTGTCTACTATCTAGTTAGTGATTTCCCCTCCGCCTTCCTCCCTACCCTCGTAACCATCAAAGAATTTGTGTGTGTGTGTGTGTGTGTAAACCTTTTCTTGAGTTCTTATAATAGTGGTCTCATACAATATTTGTCCTTTTGTGACTGACTTATTTCACTCAGCATAATGCCCTCCAGATTAATCCATGTTGTGAGATGTTTCATGGATTCATCGTTTTTTTATCATAGCATAGTATTCCACTGTGTATATGTACCATGGTTTGTTTATCCATTCATCTGTTGATGGGCGTTTAGGTTGTTTCCATTTTTTGCTATTGTGAATAGTGCTGCAATGAACATGGGTACGCGTATGTCTATTGGTGTGATGACTCTTACTTCTCAGGATTTTTAACCAAAATCTCCAACAATAAAAAGTTTTTCTCTCCAAAATAGGGGTTGTGTGCATGTAAGTGAAGACAGTGCCACAGTGTCTTCTAAATATTTAAACCCAGGGGCACAGTTTCAGAACAAAGTGCAAACTGGAGAAAGGAAGTTCCATTTCCACGCGCCCATACGTGACAGGCACATGCCTGAAAGCTTTCATTTAGGAACATGCTGCTATTGTGTGCCCTTATTCAGCTTTACCTATTTAAATAAAGCATAGAAAGAAAGAACCACTGACTAGAAGCATTTAATCAAGCTGGATAAAAGCTATGAGGACATCTTGGGGAGAAACCTCGACCAAACCAAATCCGTTGCTATTGGTTCAGAGTAAAACTACCCCATAGGGTTTCCAAAAAGGGGCTGGTGGATTCGAACTGTCGACCTTTTGGTTAGCACCTGTAGCTCTTAACTACTACGTGACCAGATGTAAAGGAATGGGTATTTCCAGAGCCTAGAGGGCCCACCCACTGTTACTTTGGATCCTTTTGCCTAAGCGAATGCTATTTCACCCAAACACAATTTATTTCAGAACATCAATAACCAACAACTCATGACAAGTTGGGCCAGGTGTTTTGAAAGGGAAGCAGAGGGAACTCTGGAAGTATATTAACCCTTTCAAAGATGGCCAGTACCAAGGGAAAGTCATTTATAAGGCAGGCCCTAACAGCTTCTGAAAGATTGTTGCGATTAACCAGAGGGGACAATTTCTTTGAGCCCATCAGAGGGCTTAGAGTTTTGGCTGTTTTATAAGACGAGACTAATTGACCCTCACTTCTAATAATCACATACTCCTGGAGTGTGAGTCATCAGCTACTGTTTAAAACGTCTCAGAGTTCCAGGCTGCAATTGTAACTCAATTAGAATGATCCCACAGCCCTGAAGGACACGGGGCTATGCTCACTAGCTTCTGTACTTGTGTGAAGGTTGTCAAAACGTACACAAATGAAACACCTCCACAGGAGAGGAAAGTCCCTTTGCCTCGCTGTGGCTGTTGACATAGTGAGGCAAATAAGAAATGCTCGTCTAGAAAGGTTTCCTTCTTTTATCACCAAAAATGAGATAATTACCAAGCAGGCTTTACAGTAGACTTCAGAGATCCTGTTAGTAATCAGGATGTGGAACATTTGTAGCAAAAACATCACCTAGAGTTCAGGGAAAAGAAAAACTCATCTTCAGCTTTAAAGGAAGGAATGTTTTGTTTAAGAAAATCCCTGATGTCAATTCTGCACTCTGAATACACACTCCCACCATCAGTCAGCCCCTGCAGTTTCATGATTGACAACCTGGATTAGCAGCACTCAAAAGATACACTCTAGATATCATGTGGTAGTTTCTAGAGCAAGCTAGCGCTTTCTCTTATGACACTGTCAGCAATCCTGGAGCACTCCACGGAGAAAACAGGATGAGGGTCCCAGACATGAGAAAGCACAGATTGTAATGAAGTTGGTGAACTCACTGACTGAGAAATAACGGTAGAAGCAGGCAGAGAAGGGTGGTTTTGCCTGCCTCACCTGGGATTTCCAGAGTCTCCCACAGCTCGCCATCTCCTCCTCATGTAAGCATGTGTACAAGGCTTGTTTGCTCACATTTCTTTAAAGATCCTACTGTGAGGGACTGCTGTTCTTGCTTATCTTCCTGTCTCTGCTTCTCCTTCTGGCAGCTAGGCTGAACAGTTCTTCCTCTTTTCCTTCCCTTTCCACTCATTCCAATAATTATTACTGCATCTGCATCCTCTCTCTTACTGAGGAAATTTTCTGTCACTGCCTTCTCCCTATCAGTCCTGGAACGAAGGGTGGACAAGCTCTGCTTAACATGAGGTAGTACAGCTTTTTCAATGAATATGTTCACCATGGGAGAGTCTATGAAATGTCCTTGTTGTACAGAGTAAGGTAAAGGTGTCTATGATTGGATTCAGACATTTAAAAAAAAAAATAAATTTGGTCAATTAATTTTATTTAAAACATCTTATTCTGGAGGTCAAGATATGCCAGGAAAGTTCCTCACACCGCTGGCTTGGAATACAGCGTATTACTCATGCCACTTCACCTGATGTTCGCCCTTTCAACCCAGGTTTTTCCAGAGTCCTGGTTTTACATTTTCAAATATGTATTTATTTTTAAAAAGAAAAATGTTGCAGTGGTAACAATATATTTAAGATAATAATACTAGGAAACACTTTATCCATGAGATCCATAATTGTATCAATGAATGAATTAAATGCAGCTGATAAAGCAAAAGATGGTTGTCATGGCACTGTATTCACTGGGAATCTCTATTAATTGGTACTTCCCTGTATCTATAATACCATAGAAACCAGTATTTACTGCAAGAGCCACAAGGTTTAGAAATCAAAATAATTAGTACACTGTGCTGTGCAGAATCTGAGTTACTTTACTATTTTAGCCCTGATTACCAAATTCAGTCTGAAAACCCAGGTGCAAACAATAAAAAACTGCACAGATGTTCCATGGAACAAAATTCTGTATTTATTTTAGGATTTTAAAGAGTTAAACAAGAAACTCAACAAAAGAATAGCTGTACCCGGTCCACATGTCAAGTCTTTATTTAACGAGTGAATACTGTGCTGAGTTTTATAGTTTTATCCTCTAGCTCAGCCTCATGTCATGTTTCCCCTCAATTCTTACCCCATCCCAGTCCTCACCATCGCCCCGCAATCCATGTACTAGAAGACTACTTGAAATGGATGGTTTGGCCCCAACAACCTAGCCTTGCAGCCGTATTTCAAACCACTCACCTCTACACGAAGAAGCGCTGGTGGCTCACTGGTTAAAGTGCTCAGCTGCTAACTGAAAGGTCAGAGGTTTGAACCTACCAGCTGCTCCATGGGAGAAAGATGTGGTAGTCAGCTTCCATAAAGATCACAGCCTTGGAAACCCTATGGGGCAGTTCTGCTCTGTCCTACATAGTCACTATGAGTCGCAGTCAACTCGACAGCAACAGATCTGGTCTGGTCACCTCACATAGTCTGGATTCTAGTCACACAGAAGCAGGCCAGCCTCCCTGTGTGCTCTCTGCATCCTCAAGTGCTCCTCCTTCAGGAAGTCTTTACTGATCTTGCCCACTGGCAGCTTTTCTTTGTTCCTTCCTTACAGCATCATCTCGCACTGTCTGGTATTCCTGAATACCTATCTTATTCTCCCCACACTCCTGGAAGGCAGGGGTGCTACTGTTTCCTCGATGAGGATCTGGGTATCCTTCTTGTTGCCTAGCACCTGTTTTACACAGTTCTTCAACAAATGGCTGCTGAATACATGAATGAAATGTTCCTTGCTTTGTTCTCTGGTTATCAGGATATGCTGCTTGGTGATATGCCTGGGGTGCAGCTGAAAGGATGATGACCCCTATTTAGCAAAAGGAGACAGATGCAAAGACAGAGGGTATACCTACAAGCACTCCCTCATCTTCCCAGCAATCTCCCCCAGTTTGACTGTTTGTCTTATCACTAAGAAGGCAGTGGGGGTTCAGCAACTCTCACACGTAAACAAGCGTGAACATCCTCACCAGGTCCCTGCAGGATGGAGCAGCACAACACATTCACGCACTGTACAGGAGTAGGAGGAGATGCTGGCAGTGGGGTTAGCCTACTTCGCAAACCTGAGGCTCACTGTGGTTCTGAAGAGCCCATCAAGTGATCACAGAGAGATCCAGGAATACTAAAACTAGTTAATGGGTAAGAGATAGCTTTAAATAGAATACCTAAACTTACAGCTATACAGCACAGGACAATGTTTGGAAATGACCAGAAAAGACAAGTTTTCACTGACTTATAAAAACACGTTATATTATTTATTAGTGCAAATAATTTGCGTTGTAATTTTAGGTTTTTTATCCCTATATGCATTTTTAATCCTTTAGACTAAAATGAGGGACAAACCAAAGAACAAAACAAGCAGTGTATGTGCAAAAGTAACATTTTTAAGATCAGTGATAAACTTACTTACCGATTACTTGCAGAAATTCTGTGTTGCTGATTTGTGAATCACTAATGCTGAAGGTTTCCTCTTGTCTTACCTCTCCCAGCAAAAATCCTTCCTAAAAGTAATAAAAGGCAACAGTTGCAGACTAAAAATAAAGATGATTTTTACTGAAATTAAGAGTAATTGAGGATATTATAATTTTATAATAATTTTAACAATAGCCTAAATAAGCTTGCCATATAAACTACTTTTCTATAAACCAACAATTAGCCTAAAATAACCTGAGGTATTATCTATTAACTGGATTGTCTAAAAAAAGGATTCCATAATAAGATGAAATGTTATTTTCATCTACTGAAGTCTTCCCTATTTTCTGAAGTAAAAACAAATAGAGTGAATCAATCACCTCAATTCTGCTGAGTCTAATAACCCACGTCAGAAAAGGTCAGGAAGTAGAAACCCTCCAGGGTTGTTTCCCTGAAACAGCATACAACTCATTTCATTGGTTTAAAAACACTACTAATGATAAAAGGCTAAAGAAGTTAACACAAAGCACAACTAACTGTCCTGTACCTCAGGCTGCGTAAGAAACGAGGATTTCAGCACATGAATTAAATTTTCTATCACTCACATGGAGGTGTTTCTTTAATAAATACAGAGGTTAATGTATTTATGCCTTTGGAGAACAGATACCACCATAATCAATTCTGGATTACTCAGCCTATAACCGACTGTTTAAGCACTTGCTGTACAGTTCAGCCCAACCACAGATGGAGCAGAGAGATACCCTAATTTTCTACTCCGGTAGAGAAGCTGAGCTGATAAGCTGTCCTGGAATGCGCTCTCCCCAGATATTTACACGGCTTACACCTTCCCTTCAGTCAGGCCTTTGCTCAGACAGCACCTCATCAGAGAGGTCTTTCCTGACAAACACAAGGGAAATAGCAACTGCTAGGCTTTCTTTTTCTTCTTAGTCTCATCATTATTGGCCATATTACGAATTTATATAAATAAATCAATGCCTATCCTTCACTAAAACGTAAGCTCCACGAGAGCAGGGGCTTTGTGCTTGTTTGATGCTCTCTCTCCTGCACCTAGCACAGTGCCTGACACATGGTGACCAAAACCAAAACCATTGCCATTGAGTCAGTCCAACTCAATACAAATCAAGGCTGTAATCTTTACAGGAGCAGACTGTCACATCTTTCTCCCTCAAAGTAGCTGGCGGGTTCAAACCACTGACCTTTGGGTTAGCAGCTGAGCATTTAACCACTATGCCACTAGGGCTCTTTAGACACATGCTAGGTGATAAAAAACACTAATTGAATAAATTTGTTGAAATAATGCCCTTATACTATATTCTCCTCCAGGCTAGTCCTTCCAATCAATTAAAGCAGCTTCCTAATTTAAAAGTATTCCCAACTGATAGGAGAGAACCTGTGAGGGTAAGTAGGCAAGGAACAGATGCCTTATAGCATAGTTTTTGTATTGGATTTGGGGAGTGGTAGTCTCCTAAAACCCCATATCATCACATACCGGGCATTTCTCAAACTTGACTAATAAACAGATCCCCTTTCAAAGAAAAAAATATTCTTTCACGCAAAGGAGTGCCCACTGACTACTAGCTTGAGAAACAGTGACTAAAGTAACTTCTTTTACTTCATGAAAGTCTTTCAATTATAATCCTCACTACAACAGAGAAGTTTTGTCTTTGTAACAGATTAAAAAAAATCGAAGTGAAAAAACAATTGAAAATTCCCACAGAACTTCAGACCTTAAGAACATATCTATAGATTCCTAGTGTTGCACAGTCCCGGGTTGCCAGATTTAGCAAATAAAAATACAGGACACCCAGGTAAATTTGAATTTCAGAGAAAAGGACAATATTTTTTATGTAATATTTGGGGTATATTATAATAAAAAATTATTGATTGTTCATTTGAAATTCAAATTTAACTGGGCATCCTGTATTTCATCTGGCAACCCTACTGCAGTCCTCGGTTTCAGAAAGTGATATAAGCTAACAGTGACATCAAGACATTTTAAGGCCAAGTATAAAATGAATGTTTAATGATCTACTGGTCTGGATTATCTGAGCCACTGTCACTTTATAGCCGGGGTAGGCAAACTATAGTGTGTGGGCCAAATCCAGCCCGGTCCCTATTATTATATGGCCTGCAAGCTAAGAATGGTTTTTATATTTTTAATGACTGAAGAAATTTTTTAAAATAATATTTCATGAAACATGAAAATTATATGAAATTCAAATTTCAGTATCCATAAATAAATTCTTATTGGAATACAGTCTCCCTGCTTCATTTATTGTCTATGGTTGCTTTCTCCCTATAACAGCAGAGTTGAGTAGCTGGGACCGAGACATATGCCTGCAAAGCCTTAAATATTTACTATTTGGCCCTTTACAGGAAAAGTTTGCTAATCCCAACTCTATAGAATAATGAGTGGATTTAAACTAGTTTTTGCCTGGACAAAACAAATATGTATATTAAAATTAAATTCCTGGTTCTTCAACTTTAAAATGTATAAAAGTAAAATTATTTTTACAGTATTCCACATCTATAATTGCAGCAAGAATAATATATAAAAATGCACAGTCATCTAAAATACGGTTGCAAATCACTGGCATTGGTGAGAATTTCCATGAAATCTAGCATCATGCTTGGCACAAGGCAGATATTAAAGAAGTATCTCTTCAATTAAATTAACAACAGTCTAAGTAACATAGCCATCTCACTGCAGGTTGTAGAAAAACTATCCATTTTTCAACAGGTAGTTGCTGTTTCTTACAATAACCTTGCCTTATACACAAACTGTGATATTACTAGGCATTTCCAGAACTAGGGAGGGTAAGAAGTACCACTGAAACCATATTTAATACTTCCATGGACGCTAGGAGCATCCCAAACCACCTATATATGCAAATACATCACATTATTAAATAGCTGGCTGCAATATCAAAGACCACAGTGTCCAGAGAGAGATGCTTCTGGAAAAACTCATACTGTATATATTTCTATCATTAATCTCTACCATCAACACTGAAGAGATGAAAGATACAAGAATTTAATTCCATTCAATTTACTAATGAAATCACTTCGCTGTGAAATCGGTTTTTCTTAATGGAAGTTAAGACTGCTGACATCAACCCAAATCCAGTTCCTTCTGCATCATTTTGCTTTGTAATCACACACACACATTTAATGAACTGTAATCATTCACTGTTTTCATCATTTAAAATAATCCAATTTGGTGATCAAATTAAATACCTGATTTAAGAGATAACTTATCTATTTTCACCAAGAATTTCCATCCAGAGGCCAGAGACATTAAAAGACAGTTCGTTAAGATAGAGATATTAAAGCTGACAAGCTCTACTCCCCCTGTGGGTTCCAAAGCCTAGGCATTTCCGATTCCTCATACACTGGCCTGTCACTTCCCTATTTCACTGCGACTAGTTCCTTGGTCTTAGAACATTCGCCAAGAACTAAACAGGCAACCACCACGAACAGCCAAGTAGACCCTGCCCCTTAGCGCTGTTTACATTCTCCACTTTTTTTTTCCACCGGGCGAAGAAAACACAGGACCGCGTCAAGCAAGTAAATAGTGACAACCATGATTTCCCTCGTCACACCACACCCATGAGACCAGCGGGCGGGCCTGGGCCTGGGCGCCTTGCCTCCTATACTAAAGCCCGGCCTGTCGACCCCTTTCCCCACCTCGGGCGCCCCTCACAAGTCAAGAATCCCGACTCTCGGGGAGAGGCAGGCGCTCGGTTTCCCCCCAAGCGACTCCTGATCCTATGGGCCGCCCTGGCGGGACAGCTTTGCTATACAGGAGACAGCTGCCCCGGGACCGCCGGGAGGCGGAGTGCGTCGAGGGAGGGGGTCCATTCAGGGGCGAGGGAGCCCCGGGCGGCAGGAGCTCGCTGGGGTCGGGGGCAGCCCAAGCACTAGCTCCTCCGGCCGGCCTGGAGCCGGGGGGCGAGCAGCGAGCGGTCCTGGCTTGGCCGCGGGCGCCAGCCGGGAGCGAGGGCTGGAGGCCCCACCGACCGCGGCGGGGGTCCCGGCACCTACGTGGTCCGCGTTGCTGTTGGCGCTGTGGAAACATACAGCGCTAAAGGTGTAGCCCGAAATGGAAGCCGCCATGATGGAAATCTCCAACTCCCCCATCATGCCCCGCAGAGGGCAGACGGCCTTCCGCCAGCCCCGCCCCTTTGCATCCTGGGAAATGAAGTCCGCGGAGGGTGTGGCCAGCCGAGCGCTAGGGCTCAGGACTGAGAAATGCGAGTTTGCGTGATTGGAAACCGCCCGGCACCGTGTGTTCCGCGTGGGTCTCGCACCCAGCACCCTTCAGACACCGCCCTTCTGTATGGTCCCTGATAACTCCCTATACAGTTTTTTCTCTTTGCAAATGAAGGTCTTAGTCTTAAAAGCCAACATTTACTGAGCTCAACCTTGGTAGGAAGGAAACGAGTCAGGCAACTGTAGGGTTTTGGATTTCAACGTAGGAGCAACATGGTGTGATTCAGATTTTAACATGACTACTCTGGCTGCAATGTTGAGAATCTAGTGTGGGGGAACTGGCGAGGAGGAGGGGGCTTATTATAATAATCCAGACTCAGAGGTGATGGTGGCTTGGAGGTGGTTAGAAGTGAGATGGTTAGCAGTGGAGGTGTAAGAAGTGATTGGATTCTGGGTACGAAAGAACAGAAAATTAATGAGAAAGCATGGAAAGAAGATAAAAAAATAAATAATAAATAACAGTGAAAACAAACTATAACAGTTAGGAAAAGAAACCCAGGGAAGGAACTAACACTGCTAATCATTATTCTTCAATTTGCTCAGTCTTTCCTGTTCAAAGCTGAGTTGCTGATTTTCCACAAAGGTCCTAAAGGAACTTGCCCAAGGTCATACTTCACACGGGACTAAGTTATGACTCAAGCTCAAGTTGGCCTGACTCCGTAGTCCACAATCAGGCAGGAAAATGCAAAGGAAAGAGGGAGTGGTGTTGGCACTGGATGGGAGGAAAACCCGCTGAGTTTCAGGCCTCTGGAGGAAGACAGGGGAGTCCAGCACAGCTGGGGCCTGTGAAGGGGCCTGGTGCTGAGTGGCCCCAGGAAAGCAGAGCAATGGTGATAGGCCCCTGAGACCTAGAAAACCAAAAGAAAACCACCAAACCCATTGCCGTGGAGTCAGACTCCTAGCGACCCTATAAGACAGAGCAGAACTGCCCCATAGGGTTTCCAAGGAGCGGCTGGTGGATTTGAACGGCTGGCCTTTTGGTTAGTAGCCATAGCTCTTAATTGCTGCACCACCAGGGCTCTAGGGAATTCCAACCGACTGGATCTGTACAGGAGGGTGAAGGAAGGGCAAGAAAGATGCTCCAGTTTGGGTGACGGTGTAGATAGTCAGGGACCATGCAGACAGGAAACAACAGAGCTGAGAACTCAGCGAAGAGAGGTTTGGAGACATGGGGGCAGGAGGAAGGCGGTGCAAGAGTTCAGCTTTGAAAGGTTGAGTTTAATGTAACAAAGGGCAGATGCAATAAAAATCTGGGGGGATCTGAGGGAAGAGGTTGGAATTGGAAGTCACTAATAATAATAGCTAAAATGTATTGAGTACTGATTCTATGTCAGGCTGTGTTTTAAACTCTTTACATGTACAATTTATTAACTTATTCAATCTTCCTAACAATCCTTTCAAGTAGACCCACTTTAAACTCCATTTCTAGTGGAAGAAACTGAACTAACATTTTTGTGCATTTAACATGTGCAGGCACATAGGGCTTTACAGGGGTTATCTCACTTAATCTCTACAGCTGTCCTATGTGACAGGTGCTGTTATTATCCTTGCTATATAAATGGACAACTGAGGTCCTGAGGGCTCAGAATCAGGCAGTCCAGCTCCAAAGTGGCAGCTTAGCTAACTTCTTTATTGGGTCACTTAAGAGCAAGTAGTGTTGGGAAAACAAGGAGGGCTTTCAAGAAGGCTGTGGTCAGCAGTGCTGACTGCTGCAGAATGTCAAGGACTTGACTCTTGGGTTTGCCAATTGAGAAGTGTGTGGGAACTCTTAGATGGCATTTTCAGAGGAGTTGTAGGTGAGTGGGACACCAGGCTGCGGGGAGATGAAGAGCGAGAGGGAGACAGGCAACCCAGACTGCTCACAGTCTCCCCTCCTGCCTCTCTTCCGGGCACCCAGTGGGAGGGACTGTCTTCCTTGGCACATTCCTGCTTCTCCCAAGTGACGGGCAACTCTGCTCAGACTGAGATTCTCCACCCTCCACCCTCCACCCTACCAGTTGCCCTGGGTGATAGAGGTGGTGCCCTACACAGCCTTCGGGACTAAACAGCCAAATTAATCCTGCCTGGAGCCAGAAATGGAACTCTGTATAAACCGTGGATTTTTCCAGGGCTCCATACTAACAATTGTTTATAGCTTTCATCACACAAAGCAAAAACATCTTAAGTGTTGGCAAGATACCAGGTTGAAAAAGGCCTTATCTTTCATGATGTTTCTTAATTAGAACTGAAAACTTTTTAAGACCCACTCAGTCACACACAAGCTTACTTTCTCTGGCATCTAGAGTCCGGAGAAGATCAAAATAACCATTCGCCCAGGGCAGTACTAATTGGCCATGGCATCAGATGGGTTTCGTACGCTGTAATAAGGTTACTTACACTCTTCCTTGAGTTCTTTAATCACTACAAACATGGATTCCCATCTACCCTTTACCTTATTCTATCACCAGTGGTTGCCTGAAGATCTTGAACACCGTGTATCAGAGAGGCACATTCCGTCCTAATTAGGATTTCTGCCAGCTGGTATGGCAACTGTTGATGCTGTTTACCTCTAGGGACTTGTTATTAGGCTTCTGTCTGCAGAGTCAACAGAAACATAGCCTAGGAAACAATTCATTTTGTTTGGAAGGCAGCCTTGCTAGGAGCCTTTGAGATCTTAGGACATAGGATCACCAGTATTTAATTGTTGCTACAGAAAAAAAAAGCCCTAAGCTTTTGGCCCATGGAGTTCTTGCATGGTAGCACAGGACTAGGGTCATTTTGAGTTGGAACCGACTCTGCAGCAGCTAACAACAAGAAGACCAGGGGTTGGACCCTGGGGCGGATTCAATCTCTAGTGAACTGGTTGGGAGCCATCTTCCAGCACAAGTCATCTTCTACGTGAGGCCCCGTACAGTGGTGAAAACGGAAGCACAAGGAGGTTAAGTCAGACAAGGTGAGCTGCCTGGTTAGGGGCAGAGCTGAGACTGAAATCCAGACATCTAGACTCCCACTACAGTGCTCTTTCTTCCACTGATCCCGTGATGGGCCTGTAGGATATTTATTTCCCTGGATATAAATCCCCATGCCCACCAGTAACGTCTGGTCAGAAGAGGCCAGATCCTAGCCACAAATGAAGTTAGCCATTCTGCCTGGACAAGGCAAAAGAATTGGGGGGGGGGGGGAGCGGCGGCTATCCCTTCCCCTTCCCAAATCTGCATACGATTTGGGGGAATGAGGTTATGTGTGCGTTTGGCTTGGGCAGTGGCAGCTTTAGGTATGTGGTGTGGTTTCCTCACCGCCAGCTTCTCCAAAAAGCAATACCTTGAATGGTCCCTTACAAGCAGCAGCCACCAAATATAGTCGCGTTTAGGCGGCGCTTCGACGAGGGGGGTGGATCTGACGCTGGCTGGAGGGGCTCAGGGAGGGAGTGTGAGGCTCTTCCCGGCCCACCAGTGCTGGAGGACCCCCGACTCATGACGCTGGCGGACCCCCGAGGGCGGCCGGAGGACTCGCTGCCCCGCGACCCACAAGCCAGGCTGGAGCAGTAGAGAGGGCGGCCTCCCACCGCCTAGAGGCGCCGTCCCACTCGCCGTCCGCTCTGCTCGTGCGGCGTCTCTATGGAGGCCCCAACGGTTGTCCCGGGCGCCGGGGAGATGAGCGCGGTCGCGGCGCGGTCCCGAGAGGGCAGTCCCGAGGAGGATGGCTTCGGCCCATCGGCGCTGGGAACTCGAGAGCAGTGAGTGGGGCGCAGGGCAGGGAGGGTGGCATCGGGCAGGGCACGGAGGGGCGGGGACCCGGGGCTCCGGGGCCGGGGAGAACCTGGGGGCGTGATGAGGGAAGCCTGAGGGCCGCCCTGGGTGAGGCTGAGGGGGATGCGAAGGATCTGAAGCTCGAGGGGCCGGCTTCAGGTGCTTATGGGGTGAGGGAGGGGCCCCGAAGCGCTTGGGGAGGCCTTTCAGGGTCTTGAACCTGAGGTGAGGCTGGGGGAAAGGGAGAAAGGGCGGCTGACGAATAGGGCTGGTGGGCAAGGGTCAGAGGCCCGGGACAGCTGTCGGCCGGGAGCTGAAAAGGCGCAGAGATGAGGATGTAGATGTGGGAGCTGGAGGGAGTGGAAGTGGAGGGCCACCTGCGGAGGGAGCGAGGTGATAGCTGGCACCTTCGGGTGAGAGAAAGTGATCTGACCTAACAGACGCTCAACTACGCTCATTAATTCAGTAATGAATTAATGCATGGACGAATGAATGGCTGTGGGGAACGGTAAGAAGAGGTAACTTGGAGGGGTGGGAGGGAGCAGGGATTATAGAGAGATGAAGTGGGAAGAGAAGGCAAATGGTCGTGAAAAGGAGGACTCTAAAAGGGAGTAAGAAAATCTGAGCGGAGGGCTGGAAGACAGGAAGAGGCGGAGACATAGCATCCTGAGAGATTGGAAGGTTTAAGACATAGACCTTAAAATTTTACCTTTAAGCACAGCTTGTCTTGGGTGTGTCCCATTGTAACCAGTGTACTGGCAGAGAATCCTGCATCTGCTCATTTGAGACTAAAATGTGCCATAATGAGACTATGACTGTGCAGTGAAGTCCAGGACTTGTGTCTGGGACTTAGGGTTCTTTGGACAGACACTTCTTTGTTTTTTAAGCTTCAATCTTATATAGCATTTGTGTCAGGTATTGTTCTAAGTGGTTTATGTGTTTAAACTTATGCTGCTTGCCCATGGCTTTCATTCTTTTGACACAAGGATCTTAAGAGATTGAGCTATGTGCACTTATTGATAACGTCAATACTGTTTTAAACCTCTTTCGTAAATAAGTCTATAATGTACTGGAAGCATACATTTAATTCATAATTCATTGTAATTCAAGAATCTTGCTTTGCATTTCATTCTTTATAGTTGGGATGCTGTCTATGAAAGAGAACTACATACTTTCCAAGAATATGGAGATGCAGGAGAAATCTGGTGAGTTAGAAAAAACAACACGCACACGCAAAACCAAACGAACTGTGATCCATATGAAAGTATGTGTGTGTGTATATGTGTGTGTATGTGTATACACCAAGTTCTTATACCAAACGAAAAAAGGCTAAAAGTCTTGGGAACTCTGGACTGATTCTGGCTTTAGTGGGTAGATTTATAGCATCTGTCTCTTTTAATGACCCAGATTTAAATTAGAGTATTAAGAAATTACTCTCAGAAGAAACAAGTCTAGAAGAGCCACAACCTCATCTACTATGAGACCAGAAGAACCAAGTGTGTTTGGCTACCACCACTGACCATTCTGACCAGGGCCACAATAGTTGGTCCTGGATAGAATGGGAGAAAAATATGGAGCAGAACTCAAGTTCTTATTAAAAAAAAAAAAAGCCAGACAAACTGCAACAGTAGAGAACAGAGGACCCCCAGTGATGATCACCCTGAGACACTCTGTAAACCTAGAACTGAACCTATCCCCTGAGGTCACCTTTTAGGGAAGTAGCAGAGTGGCACACAAGATGAAGGATATTACCTGTAAGATCGGTGTCCTACTTAAAAACCATCAGTATGAGACCAAAAGGAAACAATTATTCAGAGGCAAAGATGAGAAGATAAGGGGGCAGGGCAGCTAGAGTACTGTAAAGGGAACAAACTGAACACAAAGAGAATGTTGATACGTTGTGATAAACTTAACTAATGTCACTGAAAATTTGTGTGGAAATTGTCAAATAGCAACCTACTTTGTAAATTTTCACTGAAAACTCAAAAAAATATATATAATTTAAATAAAAGATTGTTTAATAGTATCAAAAAAAAATGACTCTTGTTTTACAGTTGTCTTTCTTTAATAAGAAATACAATTCTGAGCCACCAACATGCACAAGTGTTAATGCTGATGTATAAAAACTATTAATAAGTGACATACTGACCTTGTCTCATCTATTTTTGGAGATACTTTTTCCCAAATAATCATTGATATGAAGCTTGAGCAGTCACAGGTATTAGATCATACTTTCAAAAAAAAGACTTAACTGAGTGTAGGTTTAAGTTGCTTGAATGGAATATAGTTGTAACTTTTGCTTTATCTCCCTTTGTTATTTGATTAACTGATTTTCTGTTTCTAACAGGTTTGGAGAAGAGAGTATGAGTCGATTAATAAGGTGGATGGAAAAACAGAAGATCCCATTGGATGCTTCAATACTTGATATTGGAACTGGAAATGGTGTTTTCCTGGTTGAACTTGTTGGTACTTTTAGTATTCGTGTTTGAGCCAAATTTTAAAATGATAATTTTAAGAAATACTGCAATTGGGGATATTAACCATCTAACTCTAACGTAGTAAGTCGGTGATACCACTTACTTTGAAAAGCCACGTGGTACAAAAGGAGCCTGCATGGATTGTGAAAAAGCACTGAATGAGAACCCAGAGAACCTGAGTCCTATTCTTGGCCCTTCTGACTATAACCTTGACCTTGAGCAGGTCACTTATTTTCACTAGCCTTTAGGTGTTTCTTGAGTGTTTTGACTAAATGATCTCTGTTGGCTTCTACTAGCTTAAAACTCTGGAAATCTATTTGTATAAAAGGAAGATGCCCTTTTGGAATTCCAGTAGGACATGTATACCTTATCTTAGATGAGCATATGGTTTGAAAAGAGTATTATGTTCATGGAACTGAGTTTTGGTACAGATTTGATTACTAATTAAACCATCACTGTTGTTACATAGTGTGCTCATTGTTGTGCTAGATGCTGTGGAGGAAGTATAATAGATGGTTTTACAGTCTAATTAAAGGCTATAAAAAGTGAGATTTGTTGAGTGACTGCTCTGCCAAACGTCGTGCTAGGCACTGGCAACATGAAGATTCAGACCTTGTACTCAAGTTGTTGACAGTCTAATAGAGAATAGACTGACATATAAAAAGGGAGTTGAGTATACATTTGTTTAACTTTAATAGATACTGCCAAACAGTTTTCCCAAATGGTTGCACCAGTTTACACTCCCATTGGCAGTCTATGAAAATCCCAGTTGTTCCACGTCCTCGACAACGCCTGGTCTTGTCAGTGTAACAATTTTTAGCTGTTTAGTAGGTGTACAGGAGTCCCTGGGTAGTGCAAACAGTTAATGTGCTTGCTGCTAACTGAACAGTTTGGCAGTTTGAGTCTACCCAGAGGCTCCTTGGAAGAAATGCCTGGCTAACTACTTCCGAAAAATCAGCCATTGAAAATTCTCTTGAGCACAGTTCTATTCTCACATGCTTGGGGTTGCCGTGAGCATTGGAATCAACTTGATGGCAACTGTTTTTTCTTTTTCTTTTCTTGGTAGGTGTGTAGAGGTACCTACCTTGTGGTTTTATTCTCATTTCCCAGATGACTGAAAATGTCGAACATGCTTATACCTATTTAGATATTCTTTTTGAAGTGCCTGTTCAAGTTTTTTACCCATTTTTAAATTGAGTGACTTGTGTTTTATTGATTTGTAGTGGTTCTTTAAAAATTCAAGGTACATTACTTTTGTATAGCAAAAGTATTTGGTCTGTGGCTTACCTTCTTATTTTTACGATAGTATCTTTTGATAAACAGAAGTTCTTTAATTTTACTAAAGTTCAATTTATCATTGTTTTATTTTAAATGGTTAGTGCTTTTTGAATATTATTTAAGAAATTTCTGTCTACCCAGAATCATAAAAATCTTTTGCTGTGTTTTTTCTAAAAGCTTTATTGTTTTCCTTTTCACATTTAGGTCTCTTAATTTTTGGGTATGTTGAAAGATAGAAGTCGAGATTTATTTTTTTCCATATGAGTATCTAGATAAGCCAGCAGCATTTATTGAAAAGACATCTTTTCCCTCACTGCATGGTAGTGGCACCTGTCATAAGTCAAGTAATTGTGTATGTTTGGGTCTGGTTTTGGATCCTCTGCTTTATTCCTTTGATCTGTTTGTTTATCCTTATGATACAATGCTGTCCCAATTACTGCGGATTTATAAATCTTCATGTTTGGTTAGTGTAAGTACTCCAACTTTGATTTTCCCGCACTGTTGTCTTGGCAGGAAACCCCAGTGGCGTAGTGGTTAAGAGCTACGGCTGCTAACCAAAAGGTCGGCAATTTGAATACACCAGGCGCTCCTTGGAAACCCTGTGGGGCAGTTCTGCTCTGTCCTGTAGGATCACGATGAGTTGGAATTGACTCGATGGCAGCGGGTTTGGGTTTTTTTTTTTGTTGTTATTGTCTTGGCTATTGTTAGTTATATCTTTGCACATTTATTTAAATTTTGGAATGATCGCTTTTCAGAAAAAAACCTGGGATTTTGATTGAGATTGTGTTGAATTGATAGATCAATTTGGGGAGGATTTATATCTTTACAGTATTGAGTCTTTGAATCCATGAACATGATGTATTTCTCCATTTATTTAGGTCTCCTTTCTTTTCTCTCAGTAATATTTTATAGTTTTTTCTGTAGCGATCTTATATATCTTTTGTTAGATTTATTCCTTGGTATTTGATTTTTTTTGTTGTTGTTGTAATTGTTATGCTTTAAAGATTTTATTTTCTAATAGTTTATTGCTAGTATGTAGAAGTACAACAGATTATTTAATATTGATCTATTTGGTGACCTAGATCTACACATTCATTCTAATAGTTTATTTATAGATTCTTTTGCATTTTCTCTCTATATAGTAATGTCATGTACAAATAATAGTTTCATTTCTATTATTCCAATCTTAGTACCTTGTTTATTAAAATTCCATTTTAAAGGACACTTCAGTATGATGTTGAAATAGAAATGGTGAAGGCAGATAGCTATTGTAATATTGCCTATGATAATGGAAAAGCTTCTAATGTTTCACCATTAAATATCATGTTAGCTGTAGATTTTTGTAGTTAGTCTTTATCAGATTGACAAAGTTCCTTTCTTTTTTTTTTAGAATTATGCTTGAGGTGAAAATTTACAGAGCAAATTAGTTTCTCATTAAACAATTAATACACAAATTGTTTTGTGACGTTGGTTGCCAACCCAGCGATGTGTCAACACTCTTCCCTTCTCCACCCCAGATTCCCTGTTTCCATTCATCCAGTTGTCCTGTTCCTTCCTGCCTTCTCATCTTTGCTTTTGGGCTAGTGTGCCCATTTAGTCTCATATACATGATTGTAGCGTGCCCATTTAGTCTCATATACATGATTGAACTACAAAGCATATTCCTTGTGTGTTATTATTATTATTATTATTTGGTTGTCAATATTTTATTGTTGTACTTTAAGTGAAAGTTTACTATTCAAGTTAGTCTCATACAAAAATTTATACATACATTGTTATGCGACCCTAATTACTCTCCCTATGCTATGACAGCACACTCCTCCTTTCCACCCTTGATTTCCTGTGTCCAT